CTGGAAACATTCAAGGTGTGAGGTTGGAGGGCTCTGAGCAACCTTATCTAGTTGAAGATGTCCTTGCTCATTGCAGGGAGGTTGGACTAGATGACATTTAAATGTCCCTTCCAACCCAAACAATTCTATGATTCTGTGATTCTATGATTCAAATTGTGGATGGGAACTGGGCATTGTTTTGGACAGTGCTAGCTGGCACAGGACCCCACCATGCCAGAGTGGCTCTAACCGACTGGTAGCGCAGGTGAGACAGTCCCAGTGCCTGACAGCAATCCCTGGAACAGTTTTATTTACTCATATACATGCAGCCATAGCATCTGACAGTCTTGTGGATTTGGGGATAAGAACTGCAAAACTGGAGAATAGTAGTCCATTGAAGAGTTAAGAATTATTCAGCCTTACATTTCAACCACCAGTGATATTTGTTCTCTACAGAGTAGGGAATTAAATCCAGACCTGTTGGAGTCATAGGTCAGTACTGTCTTCATTAGACTATCCTCTGCCCTAATGATCATGCTGTAAAAGCAAGTCTTACTGCATGTGACATTGTAGCTCCAAGATGCTATTCTGCCTCATCCACTATTGCCCTTCATTCCAATTCTGGCTGATTCAAGATCAGCAATGAAGTATCAGGGAATAGGAAACAGAACTGAGTTACCAGAAACATCAGCTAAGAGATAAAAGCAAGAAAATGAAGAAGAAAAAAATTTCAATGTTTATTGAGGAAAGAGAGGTGAGAACTCCTCAGCATGTTTTCTATAATGTCTTTCTTTGAATAATATTATACAGTATATTACTGTGAATTCTGATGGCACTTTACAACCCTGGTATGTGAAAACTTGCACCTATTAAATAACTAGGAACAATTGTCAGTACAAGCAAAGATTAAGTACTGAACAATGCAGTAGATGCTCAGATTAGGGACAAGTACACAAGGTGTGTTGGGGGAATAAGGTAAAATATATTAATGAAAAAATTTTGAATAAGATATTTGAAACTAGGAAGAGATTGAGTTTTTGGTAGCGAATCAAAAGCATCCAACTGCAGACATATTTTAGGTGAAGGCAAGTAGTGGCAGATTCCAAGGAAGTTAAACAAGCCGGGGCCGGGGGGGGGGAATCTAAGGAAATACCCTTCTGAGAAAAAGCATGGAACTACAGGACACTGAATAAGGATAGTATATGGTAAAGTAAGAGAGCAAGTATCAAGTTAAACCAATCACATGTGGACAGCCACATCTGTGTTCTCTGTCACCTCCTTTTACAGTCAGCAGAGAAAAATGGGCTTTTCTAGAGTAGTAGGAAAGCAGATATCGCAAACAGGTCAGATGAGTTGCTCTTTAACTTTCTCTGTTTCTCCTCATTGATTATTGGGGTAGGGGAGAGGCTATCTTATAGTTGTAATCTGACAATATTTATCCAATGTCACCTTTTCTAGAAGAGATGGCTTAAGGAGAAAGGTGAGAAGAAAGGACTTTATCTATGATGTTCTGGATTGAGACATAAAACTGGTGTGTTAATACAGTCAGAAAAGATCAAATGACCTGTTACTTGTAAAAGGAAAATGAAAGGCACAGCTGTGTTATTTCAGATTAACTGACTACCTTTCTTGCGCCCAAGTGCTTCCTGCATGTGTGGATACAATGCAAAAGGTCTCATGGTTGTAAGCAGAGAGTGAGGGCTGTCATTTTAGTTTTGAAGAGACATGATTTAAGAGACTGAAAATACTTGCCTGAAAAATAGTGAGAAAGGTGAAGGCCTGAGAAGTAAGTTTGGAAATGATCTGTGAAATATACTAGCTGAAAGAAGACAGCAAATAATATAAAGAAAATCATGAGTATAAGAGGGCTCTGACAACAAAACCCTATTGATTCCACTAACTAGAGGATGCTGAAGAGAAATCTAGAAATATCAAAGAACCAGGAGAACGAAGAAGCTCACATGTGAAAAGGAAAAGGCGGCAGAGGAACGAAAAGACTAAGCATATTAAAACCAGAAACTGAAAATACGAAAAAAAAAACCAACTGTATTTTAGGATCAAACAACCCAAAACATGCAGAACTGAAGTATTTGTTCTCTCACTCATGCTTGTTGATGTTCCCCTCTTCTATATAGAATAAATAAATTATTATTGTTCTAGGGAATGGAAAATGGTAAGAGCAAATATAGCAATGCTGAGCTTGTTGTAAATCATGATGTTGATACTTTGCAGTCTTTCTTCTATTATTTTGTGACCCTGCTGAATTTCTGTCCCCACTTCAAATGCAAGCACAACCTTCTGACATGTAACAAAGCCAACCATCATCTAACATGATTAAATAATACCTATCACTGGCTCGTTGGTTGAAGGAAATGTATGTGGCATATCAATGGAAAATTAAGAAGAGCAGAAAACAAATTGAGCAGGATATAAACAGTAGAGTTTCAAGGCAAATATATGATGATTGTGCGATGTCACCCAGGGAATACAAGATAATAATTCTTGATCCTTACTCAAAGGAATTCAAATGCAAATCTAGTATCAGAACCATTTGTGAGGAAAAAAGCTGAGTGATCACTTTTTTCCCATGAAAACGAAAGTCATGAACTGTAGATCTCATGAAAGCACCAAGAGGGATCAAACAGACATACAGATCAGGCTACCTGAATGTTTAATGGGCTGTCGGACCTTGGTCATATGTGACTCCTTATTTCTGATAACAAAAAGACAGGTTAAATAATATCCATTTCCAAAGAACTTTAAATCCTTTCCTGAAAGGTCATATGTGAATGCAAACTCTTCCTATTTTCAAATGTATGTCCCAATCTTTGCATTCATTATGCTGAATTTCAGAGCAAGAGTAGGAAGAGGGCGGGGGGATGGCCTAGGAAAGAGCTTTAAAACAGTAATTACACTGAGGAATTGAGTCTGTAATTTTTCAGGGTGGGGGAGGGAGGGTTAATGCTCCTGTGTAAATGGACATTTGGTCTGTGAATCTGGTGAAACACCAATCAAAACCATTTTACAATGCGAACATATAAGAAGATGTTAGCTTCTGCAGAACTGGTGGCAGAAGAGAAATATAATCTTATTTACTACTGAACAGAGCAGATCTGACACAGTGATCATTAACCCAGTAAATACTGAGACAAATAATGTATTTTTAGTTACCTTTCAGAGTTCTTGCCTTGAATAGGAACCCGTTTCCCTACTAGCTTTTCACATCAGTGGCTGAGACACATAATCAGTAATACGAACTTTCATGCAATCTAGCAGAATTGGAAGCAAGCAGCACTAGGTCCAATGCTCAGGTTTAACAAATATTTAAGATAAAGCAAGCAGGGTCTGCACATAACTTGGCACTGTACCTAACTTTATGCATCAGTACAAAATAAATTATCTTCCAAAAACATAAAAAGAATGATTTTTCTTAGAGCACAACAATTTCTATTGATATTTATAACCCTCTATCAAAACAGATGTGTTGCTTAAAATCATTCATCTTGTACTCTCATAAAACACGTGACAATGCACTATTTATAATCACATTATTTATCAGGGAGAGAGCATTTTCAGTGGATATACTGGGTAATTTAAAAGACCTTACATGTTGATATACAATCAGAGACAAAAAGCATAGCCCTTTGAAAAATATGAGATGTACTCATTTTATTTGAATATTGGCAATGAAAGAGATAACTGAGTTATCTTGAGTTCTCCCATCCTGAAATTACACTCTGGTGTATTTTACACTGTCCCATCAGCCGCTGTAAATAATATCCATCTGCTTAAATACTGTGTCAGTCAGAGAGCCTCGAATGGGCAATAAACACTGCGTTTTTCGCAGGGAAATTCTATCATACAGGAGAGCAGTATGAGGGTACTCTCATAATTTTATTCAAGGGAGTTGGTTAAAATATTTTCTTAGGTCGCTTGAGCTGATTCATAGAAGGTAGAATACATTTAAGAACTGGGTTTATGTATTTGATTCAATACATACAGAAAAGCTACATTTTAGAAAAACCTGTCTTGCAAGGGTTAGGAAATGAAAATAAAAGCTTTACATCAAAATGTACTGGTTACATTTGGCATCCTCTCAATCTCATCGGGCATAGAGGTAGGGAACTCTGTTGTAGGTATTTGAAGGAAATGTGGCTGGGTATTAAATTACACTTGTATTACTCTGTTCATTACATCATCATGTGTTTCGATTGACTACCACAACTGAAGGTCTTTTAAGGAACAAAAAGGTATTTGGGTGCAACATTGCACATGCCATAAAAAAATAATAACTGCAGAACCAAAGATAGTGCTTTATGCACTGTGTTGATTATGATTGGCATGCAAACACTAATTTGGAGAGTAATGGATGCACATTATCCCAGATACTGTCACCTTGGAATCTGATTACCGTAAGCAGAAGCTGTCTGGGAGATGAAAGGATTATAATGTCTTCTAATTAATATTATTCTGAAGTGAATAATTGGCCATCTCCAATGCTTTGGAAACAAGCATTTTCAATGAACAGCTCACTTTGTTACATGGGACAGTGAAATTACTATTTATTTTCCAGTCACTTTATGATAAGGCATCCTTGTGTGTAAAAAGGCATTTCATCAGCTTAAAATGACAGCTGTCCTTGCACCTTTGAACATCTTGCTCTTTCAGGCAACAGCTCCAAATTTCTTTGAGTGAGAAGACTGCCGAAAGTTTGCAGCCAGAGAGCCAGCATGCCAGAAACCTTTTGTCACAGGAGGAGGCTGGTGTGTCAACAGATCGCAAGTCATTGCTCATCCCTGCCCCTGATCAGCTGACACGTGAACTCTTGTGAATAGACTCAAGATGGTATAAATTAGAGGTTCCTATGTTTCTCTACACTTATGGCAGGGCTGCAGCAGCAACAGTTGCTGTTTGAGGATAGAGAGGTATAACCAGCTACTTGACGGCTGTCTCTTCTTCTTTTTCCAGCCAAAAGGATCTAGGCAGAGGAGAGTCTCTCCTTCCATGCATACAGGGTAGCTGGTGTCAGGGAACTTGAAACAGCTGAAATACAATGCTTATCACAGTGGCCAGTAAAAATGGGCTTGTTATCTTTACTTGGATGTGATAAGAGCTCCATGACAGATGCTAAGAAATGCTTTCATTTCCTTTCAGATGTGGTTTCCTTGTGTTAGAGACCATTTTTTGATTACAATATTTCATTTTATGAGGACTTTCTATCATGTTATGGATTCATGTTGAATACATACAAAATGCAACATGTTCCATGGCTTTGGAAAGAAGGGCTGTTTTGCTGGAAGATACTTCAAACAGTGGAAATATAAAACTATTCATAAGAAGTCCATGAAAAGGATGAGAAAATGAACATACCCAGCCTCAAATGACCATTTTATCCTCTTCAGCTTTACTTTTTCATGTTGCAGTTATCATAAATTTTCAAAACAAAATTAAAATCTTGCTCTTAAGCTTTGTTTTTGCCCATAATTTTGAGTAAATATTTTTCTTGTAGTCCTGTCTGGAAGTTTTGCATGGTGCATAAAATTGTATTAGGAGAAATAATTTCTTACTGAAAAATAGGCAAAGACTAACACAAAACATATTTTTTTGCAAACATTATTAAATATTACCCATGATTTTCCTTTTCCAAGAAAATGACAGTATGACTGTTCAGGATCAAATAACAAAAGATTGCCTGGGCCAAGAAGAAAAAAGTATAAATCACAATGTTTTGTTAGCTCTTAACCTGGTCTAGCTCCTTGTCATAGCTGCAGAAGATTCAAGAAGCACATCATATATCTCTTGCATTGCTAAGCCTGAGAACCTCCAAATACAGAAGAAAGTTTGAAGAAGCCTAATTTCATTTATCTTAAATATTTTGCTGAATTTTTTTAAAAAAGTTTACCTTTGAAAATGCAACAATTTTCAAAGAGATTGTTGCTAAGTACAAGGAGTTCATTACAAAATCCATGAGGTTCCACCAATCATGAATGTAGTCCTGTAGTCCACCATCCCACATCTGTTTAATTTCACCCCAGATAAAACCTGTAAATAGAACATAATTCATTAAGCATGAGTATTAAATAAAAAAGGCTGTGACTATTCTAGACATTTATCTCACAATGGATTGATTCTCCTTACATTAGTTACAAAGGGAAGGTGGATAAGTGCTCTAAATTACACATCTAGTTAGGTGAAATTTTATCTTCCCATTAATGTTTCCGGAATTAATTTGTCAGGCAAAACCCCCCAAAATCATCTGCTTGTACAAGGGCAATTTCTTTGGCTTTCTTCAATCTCTTTTCCCATCGTATCATAATAAGTATAAAAAGGGTCTTAAAAGCAGTCACCACTGCCATCTCTGTCCCTGGTATCTGCTGCAGTATAATTCAATCTGGGAAATTTATGACTGCAGGAGTCAATCCAACACATTCATTTATTCCAATTGGAACCCACACAATAAGGAAGAGAATGTCTTTTGTTGTTGTCAGTGCTGAACTAAAGTCTCCCTTTTCCATAGGAAACTCCAGCAGAATATTTTTTGTTGATTCCTTCTTTTGGAATATGAAGGAATGGAAACTGTTTTCAGGTGTGCAGAGCACACATTGTGCTGGACACAAAGTGATACAGAAATATTCAATCTCAATGGGAAATTTTGCAAGTTGTATGACATGAACTTGGTTTAACAGCTCCAGAGACAACTGTGTGGAGACTCTTTAAAACCTCTCTGAAGAAGATACTCCACAATATTGTATAATAAGGTATCATAAAACAACATGGAACATTTAGATGCATATTTCATATTATTATCTACAGAGCTTCTTTCATAACAATACCAATAGAGCTTTTAATTTTTCTCAGTTAATTATTTCTTAAAGGAATATCTTAAAGGAATTTTTTACTTTTGTGCTCACTAAAGGGACAAAATTAACCACAAAAGAGACCAGTCTCTCACACATAGATGTTGAGATACAGTTAACTCAACATGGCTTTTCTCCACCTGCTTATCACATGTTCCTTTAGAAAATGTTGAACAGATTTTGTGCACGGGCCTACAAAGTCCTGCATCACTCTAGTCTGGGCTTAATTCACCTTGAACCTTAACATTTTGTTTCAATGGTCTTCAAGTTGACTGCATGGAAAACTTGTGTCTTCTCTCAAACATGATCCCTAAGAAGTAATTCCTGGTCTATTCTAGTTTGTGCCAGGTAGGTTTTTTAGTTATTTGGAAGGGGGATAGATGGGAGGAGTACAATTTCATTTTGTAGTGTTTAGTCTTGAGTCTTTCTGTCTCCTGATTGCTTTCAAAAGGAAAGGTTCCCTTCCTCACTATCTTCTCCGCTCAAATCTCAGTCACATGTTCCTATCTTGTTTTGGTGTGTCATCATCAGTAATCATGAGCCTCAGGAGTATCTGAATCATCTGATTGGTCCAGCAACTTTTATTTTCATAGGGTTCATTTTCAGCCATGCCACCATCACTATTTCAGTATTCTGCAGAGCTCGGGGAACACATTCTGAGAAAGGACCATGGTGGGAACATGTAGACAGAAAGTGGGATGTGCCCATTTTAGTGTCTACAACAGCCTAGACAGGCTGATTGCAACTCTATCTTTAGGTTATCAAGTAAAACTAATACACAAAATATAGCACTGTTAAGAAGCTAATATTTATTTTCAAGCTGCAGTGAGTCAAGTATTCTCAAGTCACAGTGAGAAAACAGTTGAACATTATTGTATGGCAGGGGTCAATATCCACTAACAGCGTCCACTGCTGCTGTTAACTGCCAAAGTGCCATCAGAAAGGGAACACACCTTCACAGGGCTTCTAGGCAGGCTCCTAAATGCCTGCCCATTTCAGCCTGTGAAATGACTTAATCACTTACTCTTCAAAGAGCTGGTCACTCCTGACACACAGTATGAACATGACGACAGCAGGTCTGGCTCCCCCTTCCCTCCATGATTCACAACCAGTCCCCTCCAACCTTTAACATGCAGTCCATGTACTTGAAATATCCATGCTTGCTCTTCCACTACCTTTTAGGCATAACATGTTAAGCATCATCAGGTCATAAAAACAGCTGTTTTGTGGGCTGCAATATACCCCTCACATTTCAGACACTGCTCTGAATCACCCCTGCTCCAACTGCAGAACGGCACATAAAATAACCATTGTGCCACAGGAGCCCGAGGAGACCTGGCTCCAGGCTCAGAGGAGACCTGGGGCCAAAGGCTGTGTAATACAGATATGTCCCCTAAGCCTCAGTGTTACAGAACAGTTCCTTGGTCTTTTTTATTTAATAATACAGATGTAGCGCCCGGATCTTGACACTGGGAAGACTGCTATGGCACAGAAAGCAGACTGTGCATTACGCACAGCAGAATGCACAGAAAGCATTGATAGAAAATCCCCAAATAAAAAGGTTTTACGGATTTACACATTCATAGAATTGAATAAACTCTTTTGTAATTCATCATAGTTAAGCATTCCCTTTAAAATATGCTTTAAAAACAGAGCAGAAATAGGTTGGGATGATTAATAAGATGAATGCTTAAGCAAGAGGCTGTAGGTTCCTTAATGTCTTCTGCCGAGATATTCCATGATTCACAACCAGCCAAGACAAACGCAACAAGGCTGTTCTCTGTAAGACTGCTGTTCTGCATCATATGCTTTGATAGCACTGCCTAAAATATAATAGAATTATGTACAGATTGAAAAAGAAATGCTGACTAACGCTGCTGCATTTGATCTGTTTTGTGAGTGAAAAGCCAGACTGTTCTTCCAAGCACTTCCTGGGCTTCAGAAAATGAAATGCAATTGTAAATTTGACACTAACAGAGAAATACTGACCTATTATAGAATAGTGGAAGAAAGTATATGGCTATTGTAAATTTGATCATTTTGAATTAGAAACACAACCAATCCAAACTACCAGTAATGCTGAAGCTGTCTAGCAGCTGAAAGTTCTGAGTATACTTTGATATCGTAATGGTGGTGGTTCTAAAATTTTCTTGGTTCAAGACAACTTTTATGTTCATCCTGATGCAGGGCTTATTCTTTTCAAGCAAATGATTATGGAAGACTGGAAATCCTACATTTTTGTTGGCTGTACTGGAGATGTGATAGTTTAGTCTTTCTTGCCAGCCAAAGCATCTAAGTGCAAACTCCATATATAAATACAGTTACTGAGATCTTATGGTACACCAGAGAACTTGAAGCTAGGCTGACTGATGGATGCTATGCTTGTGACAGACACACAATCCATGCATGCACAGTAGAGCTTCCCAGACATGTCTTTTTGAAGGCAAATCTTTGAAGGTAAAAAATCCTAAGGTTGATTGCTAAAATCCACAACTCCAGGGCAATCTCACCATGAAAGCTGAGATCAGAGTCTTTGGAAGTACCAGGTCTCTAAGGCTAGGTATCCTGAGGGATGCTCAATTAGAGCAATGAGTGCTGGAAGAACTGGGATCTCTGGAGTTCTGTAAATCCTCCCAAGTGTGCCTGAAGGGTTATCCTAGAAAAGCATACTCTGAAGTCCCGGAGCCTTTCTGCAAAGTAAAGACTTCTCTAAGGCCTGGTGAGCTTACATGATGGACCTATTCTGAGCAATGAACCTCAGGGATTCCAAGTTGTGCTGTTTAGGATTAATTTACAGCCACATAGCCAGAGGTCTTGAAATCTTGTTGTAGATCATAACTATACCTTTTTGCAATAAGGAAGGGTTGGGGCGGGAAAAGTCAGTCAGCTCTTATCTTTACAGGGTCTGATACAGTATGCCAAATTTCATTGGGAGAATCAGGAAAAGGCTAGGAAACTCTATGTATTTTTTAAAAAAAGAAAAAGACATCCAGAGATCAGGGCAGCATTATCTCTGTGACCTTGCACACATTCCTTTTCTATTTAGAAGACTGGACACAACCTGACTTTATTATCTAAGGAGACTTTTGGGCAATTCCAAAATACGACCTGACATGATAGAAGAGGAGAAGACATGCAGTGACAAGACTGTCTAATGGGTGCATCGTTACAGGTAGGAAAGAGATCTAGTGTCCAGGCGTTGTCTGCTTATTAATGTGCCAAAGCAGCAATGTTATCACATGGTGACAGAGCTCATGTCAGAGCTACGTGTTCAGCAGCAAGAAAGACAACGTCTCAACAAAGCTAAGGGCACATCACCAGCCTGCACAGAGGCACTGGGGAAAAAACGCTAAGAGGAACGAGCCAAATACAAAGGGTAGATCTAAAAGCAAGAGCCTTTAGACAGTCAGGCTGGGGACAAATGCATTGCCCAAAACTCTCTTTACCTCCCTGGGAGGAAACAAGCATCTACCAAGGCAATAATCCTGTCATCTGCAGGTGGCTCAATCTTCTCATTGACTGAAAAGGGAGCCAGGGAAGATTAGGCTGAATTAAAACAGATGTCTTACTTCCAGGTGCCTGTATTTAGCTGAAATAATTCCACCCGGAGCAGATTTCACTGTTTTAGCTGGATAATCTTTGCTATATTCTGGTTGTCTCTTTGTTCCAACTGTGTCCTTTCTATCTCTTCACACCAGCTAGATTTCACACCTGCCTTTTATACCCTCACCTACCCATTCCCCATCAACCTGCTTTTATCATTTATTGCCACTTGAAAGGAAATTATCAACATTATGCAGCTCTTCCACCTCATTAATCAAGGACTTAAATTGAAAAGTTGAAGGTGAAACTTTCAAGCATTTGTTGCATTGTTTATAACTAGATACTGGAGCAGTAAAAGAGAAATAACAGCATCGATATTTTGAAACAGGCTGAGATGATAGAAACAAATTTCATTAAACACCCCATGGTTTTAATGGGATCAAATAGACATAAATTCAGGGCAAGAATCCCATAGACCACATGAGGCCCTAGGAATGACAGACACCATGGAGAGGTTTTGTATAGCACTGTGAAGTATTATACATGCAAGCTGATGAATGCAATCATTTGACTGAAGCCCAGTTTGCCTGATGCAAGAAAGGAACTAAAATAGATCAGATAAAGTAAATTTGGAGAAAAAAA